GTTTAGCTCAAAATTTGCTAAATTTTCCTTTTATCATATGCTTATGATATTAGCATATTTAAAATTTAAATGTTCTTTAAAATTTAAGATATACCTTTAAAATTTCTTTTCCCATTTTCTTACATCTAGTTTTTTCACAAATGGAAATAAATATATTGTTTTTTTTTCCCTTAATTTCAAGTCCTTCCATGTAGTCTACTTCATAATATCTTTATAGTTATCGCTTTAAAGCAGAAGTCAACAAACTGTATCCCAGGAACCAAATCCGGCCAGCCGCCTGTTTTTTTTTTTAAAAGCCTTTGAGCTAAGAATGGTTTATACATTTTTAAATCATTACATTTTAAATGCTTGCAAAAGTACCTACATAATAGCTTCTATTTTGCCACTTGGCCCACAAAGTGTAAAATATGGACTGTCTGGCTCTTTAAGAAAAAGTTTGCTGATCCCTAACTGGAGAATCTTAATCATAATAACTGGAAGAACTGTCTAAATTATACCAAAATCCAATTTTTAGAATATTTTTAAAGAAATATACTTTATTTCTTTGGCGTATATATGGTCCAGAAGGAGATGTTGCCAGCACTACTGATTTGTGGTTGGGCAGTAGTAACTCAGTTAGTCTGTGTATGGCATTGCCTTGGCTACAGAGCTTGGTTCTGGTTGTTCAGAGTGAAATGTAGGATTCTTGTCAATGATTGGGAAGAGAAGACTTTGCATTTGTTGTGAAACGTGTGGGCTGCAGATGAGAGGCCTGGGAATGCCATACCCATTTTGCTTTCTTCCATCCTCCAACCTGATTACAGATGAAACCAAAGGAAGGGCAGAGCTGAGAGAATTGCAGTAAGACGAAGCCAAAGCCCTGATCACACCACACCTAAAACCCACCCTGGTGCTTGACTTTTGGGTTATATGAGCCAATAAATTCCATTTATTGTTTAAGTCGGTTAGAATTAGGTTTTTTTTAATTTGTAAATGAAGCTATCCTAACTAATAAAATGGTATTATTCTGCCTCTAAGAAGAATTTCACAGAAGAGCTTTGGGGAATAATTTCTGGAATTGTTTTATTCTCGATACATCAAAAATCATTGTAAAAAATTTTAATTTTAGTCTTTAACAACATGGAACAGGAAGCTAGGAAGAAGAACAATTATACGGGATGACTGACTCAAGACTTGAAAACATCTGGTAGCCAAAAACACTTTGGCAAATATAACACCGTGAGATTTAATAAGGATGAGCCCGACGTGGTTGGGGGAGATCTGCCTTAGCTGCACATGTAAAAACAGACAAGAATTGACCAAGGCTGTGATGTGGCCACCAAACCTGCTAATGTAGTTTAGGCTGCATTATCTCTTCTTTGCTCCTCAGGCCACATCTTTACTCAGTGCTGGGTTCCAGACTTTAAAAGGGATCCAGACAAACTGACGCTCACTCAGAGTAACTGAACAGGCTGGCAAAGAAATTTGAAACTATCTCATGAGGAACAGTCTCGAAGGGACTGGAGAAGTTTGCTAATGACATCTGTGATGACAGTCACGATAATAGTAAACACTTATTGAGTACTTACTATGCCTGGGGCTGTGCTAAGCAATTCCAGGTTATATCACTTAATCCCCACAATAACCTCACGTCGGGGGGTACTATTATTTACTGCACCCTTATGTATAGAAAAGGAAACCAAAGCTTAGGTCAAAAACTTACCTGAGGTCGCACAGCTAATAAGTGGTAGAACCGTGGGATTTAAACCAGAGGAGATGACTTTAAGCGGTGAACTCAACATCCTTAAGTATTTGAAGGATTGTCAAGAGGAAGAAGGATAAAGATCTGTTTCATGTGGCTCCGATTAGTAAAACCAAGACCAGTGGGGAGAAGTTACAAGGAGACAGATTTCCACTGAGCATAAGGCCATCTAAGCTTCTCTTCTTTAGCAAGGAGGGGATTTTCTTTTCTTGATGCCTCTCCCCACCTCACTTTTAGGGTTAGGCTGGGATTTCAGCTGTCCCGCTCCATGGAAACCTTGTTAGGTGTACCCTGGCCAGACTGGACAGGTCTTCCTCAGCCCTCATCTTCTTTGACCTGTTAGTAATGCTCTCTTTCTCCACATGCTTGGACTGCACAAGAGCATATTTTATTTCTCTTCTTCTTTTGGACTCCTTTTCCCCTTTCTCTCCTTTACCCATGATTATCTGACAAGGCTTTGCCCTGAGATTCCAGTCTTTGAGCCACTCTTCTGATGACTCTGGTCTCTGTGTACCTCTTTGATCTTTAACGGAGCTCTTTTCCTGATTTCTACATCTATTTAGCCCATGCTGTATTTTTCATCAGAAACTCAACATGGCAAAACTCAGACTTGCTTTACTGCTCAAACTGTTCTACTCCCTAACTTCCCATCTCTGTTGGTGGCAACCCTGCTGTCCTGTTCCTCCAGGTCTACCTTCTGCTCTGTCTTCTGCCTGAAGTCAACCACCAAATCCTATCAACTTTTCATTTATAGGATCTCTTGACTTTGTTCCTTCTTCTCCATCCCACTGTCACCCTCAAAGGATTAGTCCTGGTTGCCTCTCTCCAAGTCTCCTAAATACTCTTGTCACTGCGTAACTACATCCCCCCACTTCCTTGCGTAAGAACCTATGACGGCTCCTCATTGCCCATCAAATTGGGTCCATAGACTCAACCCAAAGTTTCAGGCAGCTGTTCCCAATACCTCCCAGAGGAAATCTATTTCTGTCTTGCTGGCCCTGTGCAATTGTCCCCTGCCCTGAGTCCCAGGCTCCGCACGCCCCTGTTTACCTTCACTCATGTTGCTCCCCTCCTGAGAGGAGTCTTGTCATTTGCAGATTCAACTTTTGTTCTTGTAATACTACTTTGTGGTCCACTTCTCCCTCTCAGTAATCACCGCCTTTTCAGCGTCCCTCTAGTTCTTGTCACCTGCTGAATTTCTTTATTCTGGTACTTGATTAGAGACTCCGTTGGAACTTTCCAATTAAAAAAAAAAACTTCCTTAGTTCCTCAAAGTAGATTTTAAACTTTTTCAGGGCAACACCTTATATCTCACAATTAATATGCAGCACTGGACTCAGCTCAGACAGGTGCTGGTTGACCCAGAACTAAAGAGAAAAATAATATTGATCCTTTATAATTTCTTCAAATGTACCAATCCCTGTACTAAGTAGAAGCATTGGCCTCATTTTAGGATAAGGAAACCAAGGCCAGGAGTTGAAGTAACTTGCCCAAGGTCACATGGCTGGTAAGTGTTGGACTCAGAGTTGGAACCCAGGTAGTTTGGGTCCAGAGCCTGTGCGCTTAGCCACTTCACCATGATGGTCATGTAGAGCCTTAGTCAGTCCCAGTCCTGTGCTCTTCTTGAGAGCCAGTACCACCAGCACTGTCGAGCTTTTGTATATGATAAGAAGGGCACCCCTTTTTTTTTTTCCCCCTCAGAAATGGACATACACAAATGTGGTATTTAGGGAGGCAACCTCATCACTGGCCCTGTCCTCAGGGAGGGTGGACCAGTGACTTTGGAAGGCCGTTAGTTGAAAACTATCCTGCTTGATTTCAATGGCTGTTTAGGGCAATAATGAAAAGAAGGCCTTGCCTCTATTGTCCTCAAGCTTTCTTGTTATTTCCAGGAGTGATAAATATGGGAACTTCCTTGGCCTCACACTCTGCTGAATTTTTGTTATTTTACCTTTTGATGGGGTTGAGTTCCTTTATTTCTGTCTTCTTTGGGGTCTGCTTCGTTGGCGTCTCAACTCTGAGACTGCTGATAAAGAGGATCCCATCCTCATCTCTTTGTTTGATTGACTCGGAACATCCTGCCAACAGATCCGTGTTTTTACCATGTATAAAAATGAAGCAGTTGTTTCAGAGTGTTAAATAATTAGACCTTTTGGGGGAAGATTAGCTTATCTTTCTCTATTGTACGAAAAAAGGGAGTGTCAAATCAAGTGTTTAAAAAAAAGCGGACATCTTTATGGAAAAAACAATATTTGGAGAAGCTAATCCTTGGGGCAGTAGTAAAGGCCAAGAGCCAAGACGCAGCACTGAACATTCCATGGGGCTCTCATTACAGAGGAAGCAGGCGCAATGGGGACACATACGGATGTTCATGGGTGACCCTGGCCACATGAATATGCATCCTTTATGATTTTTATAGCAAATATATTTGATAGCAAAAATGAAATTTTATTGTAAAATGTGCAGTGTTATTCTCTCGGTGTTTTTTTACCTTGGAGTTTTGTACAGATATTTAAAAATATGTAATTATTAGTATCAGCTCTAGCTAAAGAGAAGTTATAGCCTTCATAGACCATCTCTACGTTAAATATAACCTAAAAAAAAAAACACAGGCACATAATCCTGCTATTGGCCAGCCAACACACAAAATTTTTGTCATCTGGGCACTGTCTGTATTTATCTTCAATTTACCCTTTTAACATTTAAAATATTTCTAAAAATAAGAAATATTCAGAGAATCTTTAATTAATTTAAAAATGGAAACAGGACACACTGTGATGTAGTGGAAAGAGCTGTGAATAGGAAATTATAAGACCTGGGTTCCAGATCTGCCCCTGCTGTGTGGATAGGAACAGTTCTCTCCTTGGGGGGGGAGGGGGGGAGGCTCGCTCCCAGCTCCTAAACTCTAGCCTTTTGTGACTTACTCTACCAGAATCCTTTCTTATTGTAACAGTGACCTCTTGTGGTACATATCCTTAATCAGTTTTTTGATTTGCAAAGTAGACTTTGGATTTTGTTGTTGTTGTTGTTGTTTCTCTTAACTATGTTTCATATTGTTAAGTAAATCTGACTTGTTTTTAAAAGATAAATCTTAATTGGAAGTCAGAGGTTGATTAAAGTGGGTTGTAGAGCACCAAATCCCTTTTCATAAACGATTCTCTGTGGTCTCTTCAGAAACAGTATATGGACGACTCTTACCAGAGAAAAGAGAAACGCTTTGGTGTTTGTGCTCAGTGTTGTGTTTTCGTCTTCTTCCTAGGGACCAGGGGAAGAGGCGTGGGAGGGCCTCCTCGTGCCCCGACAGCTCAGACCTGAGCGGGCTGGAAACCAAAGCAGGTGAGGAGCTTATGTTCTTAGAGGTCCAACTTGGTCACACATCAACATTTATTTTTATTATTTTCACAACAGTTTTACCATTATTACCATTACTCAGCTCCAACATCTATAGATTACAGTCTTAGTGATTGGACAGAAATTATTTTTTAAAAGCATTTGGAAAGTTGCAAAATTTGACATAACGTAGTTCTTGAGTTCGAAACTTGAGTTCAAAATTATTTCTCACTTAAGTGAAAGTATATTAACTATATGAAAACAGCCCTTTGAGTCTTTAAATTCTGTTTAATTGAGAAAAATATGGAACAATATAAATGGCAGGCTAGAAATGATACAAAATGTGTTCATGAGATGGAATATAGCAATTAGAAAAATGAACTAGAGTACATTTATAATATTTAATAAAATGAGTACAAACAGTATAAAAAATGAAGTTGCAAAAACAGTGACATGTTGTTTATAGATACAGATCTATATGGTAAAATTATAAAGCCAGGCAAGATAAAAATAACCACCTGATTTAGAATGGTGGTAACTCTTAGAGGGAGAACAAGGAGGGAATGGTTGCGGGGAGGCATACAGAGAGCATTAACTATATCCGTATTGTTTTATTTCTTTAAAATAAGAAGGAGGATGAAAGTATGGTTAATATTTGACCAAACTATTTCTGGGTACACAGGTGTTTGTTATATTCTTTGTGCTTTTTTTGGTACACACGAAATTTTATGAAACCAAACTAATAATAGTTTCAAAAAATATTTTATTATCTTTAAAACGAATTTCTTGTCAATAAAGGGACTTTGTGGCCAATGGGAATTTCTGTAGTACTCAGGAAAACCTTAGAGGGACTGATTTCCTTGTCGGCATTGTTGCTAAGGATTTGACATTTACGTGCTAAAAACATCAGCCAATAGACACTGTGTCGAGTTTTTGTGTCCACAATTCAAAGCTGTGGTTAAGAACGATAACCACTGAGACAGCAAAATCTTCAAAAAACATGCTGAAATTTCTGCTTGACTTACCCAATTTCCTGTTGAATCATAATTTTTATTTTTAGCAAGCTGTAAACCTAGATGAAAGTGCTTTCTAAAATATCAGGTTGTTGCCCAAGAATGAGACAAACTTTATTTATTTTTTTTTGTGGATCTTAAAAGGTAATCACATGGTTCAGTTTCTAGGGTAGAAAATGGGTTGGTGTATAAAATGGGATTTTTGTGGAGAGCGGAGGTGGAGGAGGTGTGCGAGGTGGTAGCGATGTGGAGGGCCATAGTGGACACAGCCGCTCATTGCTAAGAGAGAGTTAAAAGCAAACTCTTACACCACGGTGTCTGGCTAACTTCTGAGAAGAAACAAATCATAGGAACATTCAGAAGTGGCGGCGAGGGCCTTTCCTTTCCAAAGGTTAAATCAGCTGTTGGTGGTTTCTGGCTCACCCCTGTAATTCAGCTCTGCGTGCGGTGACCATGCTATCAATTGGTTTGTCCTGAGAAAGGAGTCCATGATCATGGTTTCTCATAGAGCTATTCTATTAAAGAGCATATCGCACAGAAGGTAAAAATGCTGATTTGAGCTTAGTAGATTTGAAGTCTGTATTTCTAATGAAGTTAAATGTGTCATCAATATTTGTTGATTAAATTGTTTGTCTGACTTAACTATCCTCTGGCTTTTCACTTAATTTGATATATGTTGATTTTTATTCACATACTTTGGACTTTGAATATGTCAGATACCTTGGAAATTGAACAACTGTGTTTTTTATACTGCTTGCATGTATTCATGTTTACGTTTAGAATCCATATGTGTAATTTATCAAAGTTAGGGCAGACTCTTGAAAGTGAAGATCCAAGAGATTGAGATGGTGGTCTGCAAACCTTTATCTGTGGTTCTTGAAATCTCAAAAGCTCTGAAAGCTACAGTATTTTTCAAACTCGTTTAGCGGCAATGCCTGACCTGAACTGTTGGGCAATTGTAGTCTCTTGTTTTGTTGGTGTAAATATTCACTTATTTTGCTGCAGGATTCTGCCCGGGAGGACCCTACTGGGGTGGTATGGAATATGCCATGTATGCACCATATGGCCTTAGTAAAATGCAGAATTTTCTGAATTTGAAACCGCATCTAATCCCAAAGGCTTTGGATAAGGGATTGTGAACCTGTACAGATATGGTCTGATTTTGTCCTAAAGACAATTCAACTATGTGTTTTATGGTGAATTCTTCTTTGGGTTAGACAGGTTATGTGAAAACTCGCCTTTAAAAATATTGACCACACCTAAACTGTTTAGTTACAGCTTTGCTGACAACCCCATTTTATTTACTTTTTCATGTCCAGTGCACATGGCCCCTCTTGGTATCAGGAAGGTTTGGTGGAAGACAAGCCTAGACTTGCTGCACCTGGGAGCGGCCGTGTGCAGCCTGGCGTGCGATAGGGGAGGCCTGTGTATGGGGTGGGGTGGGTAAATCATAGAGCTTGCCTGCTTCTCCTGGGTGACATCATCACTACATGCTTGGGAAATTTAATGTGTGTTAGATGGTTTTTTTCCCCTTCAAGAATAATGCAAGTATATTAGAGGTTTTGGGAAATACAGAAGAGCACATGAAAGAAATTAATAAGCCATAATCCCAATACTTAGAGATGACCCTTGTTACCCATTTTATAGAGGAAAGTGAAGCACTTTGCCAAAGTCAACCAGCTAGTAGGTGACAGAGCCAGGATTCAAACCTAGACAGTGACTCTAGTTCTGTGCTCCTCACAGGCCTCCCTGGTCAGCTTGTCCTTTTTTTCGTTAAAACAACCTAAAAATATACAGGCCACACACCCTCCCACTGTGCTCTCTCTCTCTCTCTTTCTCTGTGGAATCCTCTGATTGCCCCTATGATTTCTAACTCTTCATGTGACATTTTTAGGGTTCAGGCACCCACCATGTGGACACTTAATTGGCACCAGGTCCACTCGGAGAGGGCACGGGCTCCTTGAACCAATACAGAGTGGGTGCCAGGTGAGGGTCTTAAGGGGGGATTTCAGGGAAGGGAGGCAGAGGCTTAGGTCTCTAGGAGTGCTCTAGCTTTGCTCCTGAGAGGCTCCACCCAGTGGGGTCCCCTCCAGCTATGCAGTCAGTGCTTTAGATCCTGCGATAGTGCCTTTGTGATAAACAGTTTCTAATATGATTTGTATTCCCTCAATGTTACCCTCTAGTCTGCTGGTTTGCTGCAGAGCAAATAGCACAGAGGTCAAGTGCAAGGGCTATAGAGCTATATGACCTTGGGCAGGTATTTAATACCCCTGAGCCCCACATTCTTCATCTGGAAAATGGGCATAATTTGGACACCTCCTCATAGGATCTAACGGACCGCCTCCTTTAGACTGTGCACCTCAAGCATGCAGTCGGTGGAAGCTGTTCCACCTCTCCAGCCCACGGTGTTCATGCACAGCAGCTACTCTTGATGACTCAGTAGTTAGCGTATGGCCTGATACACTTCAGACAGTGAGGACCTGTTTGTTTTTTAACCAGGGAAATGAAATTCATATTTATTGAGCATTACAAGATGCAAGGCTCTGGCCTCAGGGCTTTGCCAGTAACGTGTCTTTGAATTCTCATAACCCTAAAGGCAAATATTCTAATCTCTGTTTTGCTGATGAGGCTCAAAGAGGATCAGAAACCAGACCCCAGTCACCCAGGGCATCAAAAATAAAGTTGCGATTTGAATTGAGATCTGTCAGTGCCCAGCGCCCAGGCTTTTCCCACTGCCCCACCCAAAATCACTTGGCACCAGCCCCGCAACGATGTGGAGGTTTCATTTTCTATAGGAAAGAGAGTCCCTGCAGACCTCCATGTTAGAAAATTTTCATTAAACAGTTTCAAAATCCTTATTCTTTCCATAGCTACAGTTTTCTATTTATTCCATATTACAGAGGGTTAAGTCTAAGTAAAAAAAAACCTCAAAACTTTGCTTTACTGACAATTTCAACATTTACAGAGCTTAAGACTTCATGCAGTGTCCCACTCAAAGTTTAAAGTTCTGATGTTCTGATTTCTTTTTCTTTTTTTTTTTTTGAGGAAGACTGGCCCTGAGCTAACATCTGTGCCCATCTTCCTCTACTTTCTATGTGGGACGCCTACCACAGCATGGCTTGCCAAGCGGTGCCATGTCCACACCCAAGATCTGAACCTTCAAACCTCAGGCTGCTGAAGTGGAATGTGCACACTTAACCACTGTGCCACCAGGCTGGCCCCCTAAAGTTCTGATTTCTTTCCACTGTCTTGTCTGAGTTTAGTTCTGGGTGACCTGATTAGAAGACATGTAGTTCTAATTAGAATTAGTTGGGCTTGAGGGGCAAAGTGTAATTCCATTCGAGGGTTTGTTAATTTCAGTGATGACTAGCAAAGACGCATGTTGGCGCTCCAGTTACAGCTCCTTTCTCATGGCTCTTTCTCCCACTCTGGGTCTCTTTTGCAGTCTCAAAAGCCGACTTGCAAGAAAAAGATACAGAAATAGAAAGGGACGAAGTCTTTTGGAATACGAGGATCGTACCAATTTTGCATGAATTAGAAAACGGTAAAAAAACAATTTTTATTTTAAATCAGCAATATCTGTAGTTATTTATATGTTCCCCATTGCCCTGATATTTTTAGTGCACTTTGACTATCATTTCTGTGAACATGTTCAAAACCAAGTGAATTCATCTATTTATTTACCCAGTAATGTATGTATTAATCTTACATGGGGACCTAATTTTTAGTGAGCAAAATTATACTTTCAGTGCAACACGAGAGCCTACTTCTAAAACTCCCCTTGGAGTATAAATTAATTATCACCTCCTCTGCCCAAGGAAATGCTGATTTGAACTCTCTAGGATGACAGTTCATGCAAGAAAGTGAAAGATTAAAACAGATTTCGGGCCTCTAAACTTTAACTAAGTCTCATAGACTGGCATCCTTGGCAGGTGTGCCCGTGGTTTTCTAGATCCAAATGTATATGTCCTATCTCCCTAAGGTTGAGTGCATGAGTCAAGGATGCCTCTCAGAGCGGGAAGTGGCCTAGGATGTGCCCAGCCCTTGCACCATGGAGGCCCCCAGTCAATGGGTCTCTGCAAAGGTGACCTATGGAAAGCTTGTCAGAGGGATGAACCCCACCTTCTCCCCTTTGCCACTCCTCGGGCATTCCATCTCTGAAGTTGAAATGAGCTGCTCTGGAGCTGCCCTCATGGCGCCAGGGCTGATCCCAGCACCTGGCACACAGCACACAGTAGGCCCTCACTAGGAATTGTGGAATGAGTGCTCTTGGGATGAACAAACCAGCATCATAGCCACAGGAAGAAGCCCTAGGAGAAGCAGGGTAAGTGAGTCCTTCCCACCCACTAAGCAGGGAAGTCATGCAAAAGACCTGCTTCTGAAAAGATTCAAGTGACCTCACCCTTCTTCGGCTCCCTGTTGGTGCTTGGCGGTGTTCATTGTTAATGTGGGATCAGTAAGCAGGGTTTCCGGTCCCGCTGTTGCCACTAACTAAGCATATGGGCATGGAGAATCCCTAATCTCTGCCCCGTAGTGATCTCACCTGCCAGCTGAGGGAGTGGGCAAGACTGGATCATCACCAAAGTCCACTGCTGCTCAAAGCCACTCTGAATATGAACGGAATGACTGTTGCCTGTAGAGTCACTAATTTTCACCTACATGTTAGTGAGCTGGGTTAACTTTGGGCTCTTTATTTTGAGAGATGTGTGCAAAAACTAGTGAGAGGAGCCATCTCTCCTCTCACCAAGAGTTAAAGAAAAGATAAAGTAAAAGTTAAAGAAAATACACCAGGAAGGACACAGTGGGGAGAATGGCCAGCAGCCCAAAGGCCCAGCTTGGAGGGAGTCTTCTGCATTAAGGATTTTTAAGAAGGTTCTGAGGGCTCTGCCACCACTGGCACCACCAGAGAAAAGTTACCAGGAGTTTGGGATTTGAAATGTGGGTGACTCTCCCTTCTCAGAGGATTATTAAGCACTGAGGTCCGGCATGTCTTCCATAGCCAGCTCTAGCAGCAAATGGTGGCGGGACTGTGTAATGACCCTTTGAGATTTTCTTTTTTTCTCTTTCCACTTTTTATTTTGACGTAATTTCAGACTTATAGAAAAGTAACAAGAATAGTACAAAAAAACCCTTTATGCTCTTCCCTCAAATTCCCAAAATGTTAACATTTAATGCACTTGCTTTGTCACTCTCTCTCCCTTCCTCCCTCTCTCCTCTTGCTCTCTTTTTCTCTACCCTTCCTCCCCCTTACGCACACATGCACATTGTTTTTTCCTTTTTTGAACCATTTGAGAACAAGCTGCAGACATGAAGTCCTGTATCCCTAAGTTCTCTGGCGCATATTTTTAGAAACAAGGCATTCTGTTACGTATCTGGAAATCACCGTACAATACGAGACAAACCTTATTCAGATTTTACCAGTTATCCTAATAATTTCCTTAAGAAAATCCTGCATCACAAGTTCCAACCAGTTGTCATGTCTCTTTTGTGATCTTGATATATTTGAGGAGTACAGGCCAATTATTTTATATACTGCCCCACAAATGAGGTTTGTCTGGTATTTTCTCACGATTAGATCCAAGTTAGGCATTTGGGGCAGGTACATGGTGTGAGTGGTGCTGTCTCCTTCTCAGTGCATCATATCAGGGCCACGAGATGCAGATTTGGTCCGTTAACTGGGGATGTGAACTTTGATCACTTAATGAAGGTGATGTCCACCAAGTTTTTCCACTGTAAAGTTACTATTTTTCTCTTTGTAATTAGTAAGTATCTTATGGGGAGAAATTACCTTGAGACGATGTTGCTTTCTATTACTCGCCAAAATTCCACCCACTAGCTTTAGGCCCTGGGAATCTTGGTAGCTCTTAGATTCAAGTTGCCTTTTGAGGCTATATGGCATTTATAACAAACCAACTGGTATAAAGAGTTAATTTGATCAATAGTTTAAAATTTGACCCTTGAGGCTTCGTTTTAAATTTCTTTTAAGCTAAAACAGCTGCTCTTGAGTAGAACCCGCCAGGCTGAACAGCTTGTGGAGGGAAGTATTAGAAAAATATCTTACAGACCACCCGGTACCCGAGTGTGGCCCACAGCCTGGACTTGGGGTTTGGGAAGAAACTGCCAGTCACAGAAGAATAAAACAACAACAAAAAGTGTTTCTCACAATAGAGCTCAAATTTTTCCTTTTATTTAAAGTTAGTCTCAGTCATTTCCCATCAATTCATTTATTTAAGTGCATAACTGAAAGCCATTGAAGGTTACTTAGCTATTGAGGTTTAACATTTTTTCTTAGATGTTATTGTTGAAAAGAGCTAAAAATGGCCTGAGTCATTTCCTTCTGCAGGCGCACACTTCCTCTATGTGGGCTTTTAAGAGCAGATTATGGTATTTATTTAAGATTGGTTTCCTACTTTTAAATTTTGTGATGGAATCTATCAGAGATAGTATTTTTCAACTGAATACCTTATACCTTGGATTCTTATATTTTCCCTTCATTTTGTGTACTACTTGTCTTCCTTGTCTGCTAAGGAAAGTATGGCTACTACTTTCAAAAATTACTTTCTTCAGCATTCTAATTATAAAATAAAATGTTCTTGGTCTCCCTTGTCTGCTAACTAAAGTCGTCTTCTTCTCTTCTGATAGCCATCTCCAAATAATGGTGAATGTGGTGACATTTTGAGATTTTGTTCCATTTGAGCCCTCTTTTCTCAGATAATGAGCATTATTCTCATAGAAAAATGTTGATCATTGTTTTCATCAATAGATATATTAGAAAATGAATATGTATTAAACTGTGTTACAGGTGCTCAGTACCATCTTCTCACTGTGCCATGCACTGTTGCTACAAAGACATGTAAGACATGGTTCCCACTCACTTGGCAAGACATCTATTTGAGGGCCCTGGCCATATAACTTAGGATACATATATATGTGAAAAATAACAGTGCAAGGTCACATTTGTTGAATGTGGAGTAGTACCTCCTTTCTGGAGGGGCTAGAACATAAACGTAGCCTTGAAGGACCAAAATCAGTAGGAATGAGGGTAAGAACATTCTAGGCCAGTGGAACTATGCTGCAAAGGGTTAAAGGTGGAGACGTGAGTGATATGCATCCGTGAGACTGAACAGAGCACTGGTGAAGGCGGAGGGCATTTGGAATAAAGGAGACCAACTGAAATAGGTGCAATTCTATTCTTTCATACAATCTTTGAAAGACTCTGTATTCTAGATAAGCTAACGGACTGATTAGTAAATAAGTCAACCTGGTAGGAGACGGATCAACAAAATGAAAAAAAAAATCAAGTAGGTGGAAACAATAAGAGAAGGGAAAAAAACCCAGCTCAGGAATTTGAAGATGTCTGGGGAAATAATTGTGGGGTTTTACTTACGCTGTCTGTGTTTGACACACTTGGAAACTTGACCTTAATTAGTAAGTGCTGCTTTACTCTCTTTGCTCTGACAGAAGAAAACATTGAAACGGTTTGTGCTGCTTGCACAGAACTCCATCACGCTTTAGAGGAAGGAAACATGCTGGGAAATAAATTTAAAAGAAGAAGTATTCTCCTGAAGACCCTATATAAACTAGTTGATGTTGGTTCAGACTTGCTCAGCCTTAAACTTGCAAAAATTATTCTAGCAGTAAGTTTTTCTTTCCTCTGGTCTAGTAGACTCTAGCACATGGAAGTTTTGTTTAATGCTTTATTTGTAAATGTTCCCCAGAAGATTAGAAATGCAGTGTGTTCATTTAGAATCTTGAAAAAAAATTAAGGTAATAAACTGACATTCCAGAATTTGACTAAAAGTGCTGTCTAAGGAACTGAGGCTGAGTACATAAAAAATGTTCAAATAAACTCTGAAATATGAACTGTGGCTAGGTTAAAGAAAAATATGACAGTAAGCAAATACATTCAAAGCAGTTGCTCAAGTAACTTGACTGGAGATCGGTATCAGACAGCACAGGCTGTGGTTTCTGCCTATGGTTTCTGCTGGGTGCTTGATTCTGTCACATGATTTAATAAATAACAAGATAACTTGGACCGTGGACACAATGTCCAGGTGCTTTACGAACCAGCATGAAACAGAGAAACAGCTGTATGTGGTCATGGGAAGGTTGTCATAGAAGGTTCCCGTGAGGTGTTAGAAGAAAAGCCCAGACACCAAATAAAAGTCTGTAGACGCTCTTTCTCAAACATAAGGATATCATTGTTTGAGGGGAGCACTGTGTTGTCACAGCCATAAACAGTTGGAACTAAAAGATAAGACACAATTATTATATAGCGTTCTAAGAGAGCCGCTAAAACAAATGAATGAAGCTTTGTTTACCGATTTCATGAAAGTAAAAGCTATTATGTTAACACCCATAGTTCATATAATTTAAAATCTTAAAGTACACAGTGAAGGTAGGTGTTGGCATACTTACTAATAGCCTAGTAAGAATGCTCACCGTTTCTTATTTTGATGTCTTTCCTAAAGGAGAATAGTCTGACTACGTTTCCTATGTGAATTTTTGGAGAGGCTACCTTATTTACCTGTCATCCCAAAGTATTCACCCTCTCTTTAAAAACTGTGATATGTGACTCAGAAAGTAACGTTTTTTGAAGTAGTAATTTCAGTAGTATTTTAATCCCCTCTCGCTGATCATAATTGATCAATCAGGTTTAATGAAACAGAAAGAGCACAAACCACAGGGAGGGTTTAAGTCCAAAGTTGTAAGTAGAGAGATCTGTGTGCTTGCTCTGTTCCCCCTCCAGGCCTGGATTTGGGGTGCCCCCTGGGCCCAGGAGAGCCCCGGTGTGAGGCTGGGGGGCTCTAACGGTGTACCTGCCCCGGGCAGGACCCACGCTGCCAGCTGCCCAGGAATTGATTACCTTTGGTTTTTTTCATCTGGATCCTAGACATTTTGCTCCATACCAAACCAAAAAAATAAATAAATAGAGAAAGAGAAAGAAAGAAGGAAAATGCCATGAATTGGATAATGCTCTGCAGTGAAAATATTATCCTGGTTGTTAAAGGTGCCATTCAAATTAATTATATACATGGCATAATTTAGCTATTTTAGGGCAAAGGCTAAGTAATCTGCCAGGCAGTGAACACGCTGTGAGCTAAACGTGTGATTAGATAAGCCCTCTCTGTGACATTGCCTGCCGTGGTGAATGAGTAGGCTCCACTCCGGCGCGCAGGGATGGGTGGGCTGTCCCTTCCCATTAACTACAGAAGCACAAGGTCAGAAGGACCTTCAAGGCCGTCAAGTTCAACTTCCTGTCTGCCACCCGAATCTCCTATAATGTTCCAGGCTAGACATTGTTTCCCTTAGGCCTTGGTGATGGGGTTCTATGTAAATTTTAAAAAGACCACATCATAAAAAGCTGTTGAAGAAAAAAAAATGAGCAAAAACTAAAGATATATAGGACTAAGAAGTTTTTAGTACCTTCTTCTGATATTTATTTTATCTACCAGTCTAATATTATAATTCAGACATTTCAAATTATTTATAGTTCAAAAAAGTTCAGTGAGCATAATGTTAGTTGTTGTGACTTCTTGCATTCTTGGGTTAAGTGGGGGTTTATCAGACGGCCATTTTAATTTTAACCTTCATATCAAAAACTCTTACAAAAATATATGTCTCTATTAAGAGTATTTAGAGTGTAAACATATATAATCAGTATGAATGCAACTATGTTCAGGAGGGGAAAAGAGTGTAGCACCCTATACAGGTGAAAAAAACAGAAAGAAAGAACCAAGAGGGGGCCAGCCCTGTGACCTAGTGGTTAAGTTTGGCACACTCCGCTCCAGTGGCCTGGGTTCGGTTTCTGGGCACAGACCTGCACCACTCTGTGGCCATGCTGTGGTGGCGACCCACATACAAAATGGAGGGAGATTGGCACAGATGTTAACGCAGGGCAAATCTTCCTCAGCAAAAAGAAAAAAAAAGAAATAACCAAGATGTCAACAGTGATTATATATAGTGGTAGTATTACGAGTGCTTTTAAACTTCCCTTTAATTTTTCAAATTTGCTTTAAATAGAAAAGACTACTATTTTTAACCTAAGGAGTAAACTACCCCACTACGCGAACCTACTTTGTGCCAGGGACTCTTGACCCTGGGAATACAAGTAACTAAAACAGCCCTGCCTTCCAGGCTGGCACTGTGGCAAGGGAGGCAGATGGTAAAGACATGAGGTGCCGAAGGGGCCGATGAGTACCCTGGGAAGAAAAGAAAGCAGAGCGAGGGGAACAGCCAGTGTGGGGAAAAGTGCTGTTTCCTATAAGATAGTCTACATTTCTTGCATATGATCTAATATTATGTTTTCATGTCTCAAAGTCATAATTTTACAGCTATCAAAAGAGAAAGTATAGGAATTTGCTTTGAATTAAACTGACCTTATAGCAGACCTAGAAATGGTGGGGTTTTTTGTTTTTGTTTTTTAAATGAAAACTCTGGCACCAGTTGTTTTTTTCTCCTTTACCACTTTTCACTAAAATGAGACTTGGGTCAGGAGTGAGGTTAGTTGTCTTGATTCATTTATTCAACAAGTTCTATTAAGTCTGTAACACACACTATGTGCCACACATAGAAAGAGTAATAAATCATGGCTTTAGCTTTAAAGGCTCACAATGTAGTGGAAGATTATCAACTGATTAAAATATATTCCCAAATATTAAGGACAATGCATATTTCCATTGATAGGGAATTTTAAAAAATTTTCTTTAGTCAGCTTATTTTCTGGGTTTTTAAACAATATTTTTTAAAATACCTAATCATTAAAAATTGTTTTGTGTCCTTTTCCTTTTTTCCTCCTGAGAACAGAAAGAATCTCCAGTGTGCCGTGTGTGACAGTTTCTGAGGCTCCCACAACAGAGATTCACAGACCTGAACGTGCACACAGATCCCCTGGGGGGCTTGTTAAAATGCAGATTCTGATTCACTCGAGCTGGGTGGGGCCCAAGATTCTGCATTTTTAATACACGCCCTGGTGACACCAAGACTGACCTGTCTGAGGAGCAGACTCCTTAGTTGCAAAATGGGGATGACAACACCTAATTTGCAGGGTTGCTCTGAAATAACATGCGAAGGGCCCAGAGCAGGGGGGCAGGCAGAAGCTGCTCCACGGGTAATGCTCCCGTCCCCTGCCCCTCCAGCGTGGGGTCACCTTGTTCTTCTGGGTATGTCCTACAGGGGACAGCATAGTGCCTGCCACACCATGGGAGCACAGGCAGATTTGCAGCTCCAACACAGAAGGAAGCCTTAAAAAATATGTCTGGCACATTCCATTATCTTATTTTTAAAACTAAATGAAAACTCCTTAATAAACAATATTGGAGATAATTTTAAAGATACTTTTTAATGATAAAATAGTGACCCATATGCCATCCTTTTCACACAGGTATACTTATTTGTTCAGATGACCTCATTCCTACAAAGACATTCTACACTCTTGCAATGAGTGCATGTAATATTTCCATCTTACAGTGGATTATAAATGTCTTTCTTTTTAAATATAGTGTTCACAGTTGTGGTTTTTGTGACTGCTTAAAATGAATAGTATTGATGTTCCACAATTTATTAAACTCTTCCCTAATATTGGACATTTAGGATTTTTTTTTATTTTTAATTTTACTACTTTAGATAAACGTGCAGCTGATTTAGACCATTTGATTCAGTTAGTCCTCCTATACTATGGCTTTTAAAAAAGTATACTTTCTTATTACCCCTATGTTTAATCTACTTGAATATTTTTGTATGATTTAGAAAGTAATTTTAAACTTTGAACATTATCTCAAAGCATTCCAGAAATAGCCTTAAAAATAAATATATATGTATTATCTAATCAAAGAATATTACTTTTTAATTTTCTTTTATGCAGATAATAAAGAGAATCATTCTGTCCCCCTTTCTTTTTTTCCCTTCACCTCCCCTGTGAATTCCTAAGTTAGTTTTATCTGAAATTTTGGTATCCATCTTCTTTCACTTTTCTCTTGTAAAAGTTACTCTATTGATTAAATTTATCAACATCATTCACCCTTTTTGTCTCATATACTCTTTGAAAAGTAACTAGTAATCTTACATATGGGACTTTATGCAGCAAGAAATAATTGCTTACATTAAAATGTGCTCGCTGTAAAGATCCTTTGTGTTGTATTTACTGTAAATGAGTTAACTAGATACCATAGTGGGCAAATATGTGACCTACACCTTTCAGAGTTGATTTCTTTAGAACTTTCCTTTATGTTTTAAAAGGCTCTTGCTGCCCTTTTAAAATTAAATGTTTATGTTAAAAAAATTATGCCATGTCTTTGTTTCCCTCTACAATAGAAATGTAAGTGTTTTCTTTCTCTGCAGCTTAAAGTGAGTAGAAAGAATCTTCTTAATGTCTGCAAACTTATATTTAAAATTAGCAGGAGTGAGAAGAATGATTCTCTGATTCAAAATGACAACATTCTGGGTGAGTACAATTCAGTGCAAACGCACTTAAGTATGAAAGAAAAGCCTGGAAAACAAAGTTATAGTTAAAGCTAGCTGGAATATGCAGGAGTTATGTGATGCCTGTCTTTGCTCTGTCCTTCTCTGTGTTCCCTTTAATGGATCCTATGGGGACTGAAGGATAGTCTGCCTTTTTTTTTTTTTAATGCCTGTAGTAACATTATGTGACTTTACAAAGTGTTCCCTATTTTAAAACACATTTAATAGTACTTGACATAAGTGAAATTTTTGGTCTTTTGATGTAGGAGGAATAGCTAAAGCTGGAAAGCCATATGTAACTGTTGTTGAAATGTGACATCAAAGTGTCTCAAACATGTAGGTAGAGAAATTTTATTACATTCTAAATATCTAGCTAATAATGACTAATTCTTGATATTCCCTTGAACAATTAAGACGCTTAAATCATTACCTAAATAGGAATCTTTTATGAACTAGTATGGCTGATCTAAGGGAGGTCAAGGAAAATACTTTGAGTCTTCTTCTTGCAAATAGGATAAATGATCTCTTATATATATATATATTTTTTACCACAGCAGACAGGGACAAAGCCAGTACTGAAAGAAATATCTAGCACTGAATCAGCTGATTGAGAATTATAGACTAAAAACAAAGGAAGATTCTGACAAATGGTCATATTGACATTCATGAAGTTAAATGTGAGATAGGCATGGTTAACCTTATCAGAGTTGCCTGGATTACTCCTAAAATCTAGCAATTGTATGTTACTTTGATGGATGTTTTTAAGTTGCCTAGGGAAAGGGTCAGTGTTATATTCCAAGTATTCCTTTCTCTGGCAATTGAGATTTTTTAGAAAACCCTATCTAGGGCCGGCCCAGTGGCACAGTGGTTAAGTTTTCACGTTCTGCTTCTCGGTAGCCCTGGGTTCACCGGTTCGGATCCCAGGTGCAGACATGGCACCGCTTGTCAAGCCATGCTGTGGCAGGCGTCCCATGTATAAAGTAGAGGAAGATGGGCATGGATGTTAGCTCAGGGCCAGTCTTCCTCAGCAAAAGGAGGAGGATTGGTGGCAGATGTTAGTTTAGGGCTAATCTTCCTCAAAAAAATAAAAAGAAAAGCCTATCTTGATTAATTTCCCATTCATACAGCAACGAGTATATTCTTAATGGTTTTTTTGAAGTTTAACTCTTAAATTGCTTTAATTATTAGTTATTCTATAATAGCTCAAAATATTTGTAACCAAAAATAAAGGTTGGTAAATATTAGTAAGAGGTAAGGAATGGCATTTAATTAAAAGAACACTTTCTTATTTATATATTAAATTTCCCATCCTTTTGCTGTCATTATCATCATAGACACTTGTCTTAGCTAAAAGGAAGCTTTCCTCTTGTACCATATGAGAATCCCTAACAAGCATTTGAATGTAGGTTATGACTAACATTTTACAAATTGTATTTGCTGTTCACATGCAAGTGCTTTAATATCTCTCTCTCCAGCTCTTATACTCATACATTTGTAATAATTCATCTTTCTGACAGAATCATTACTGGAGGTGCTGGGAAAGGAAGACCTACAAACTAACACCGAAGCTTTTTTATACTGTATGGGGACTCTCAAATTCATTTCTGGAAATCCAGGATTTCTTAATGAAATGATCAGCAAAGGCACTGTGGAAATATTGATAAATTTGATAAAGCAAATAAATGAGAACACCAAGAAATGTGGTACATGCTTGCCTAATTCAGGCCACTTGTTAGTCCAAGTAAGTACTTTACTTGAAAAGGTTAGATATGTAAGATTAGCTTTCATGTTACCTAATACCAGTTACCTGCCAGGTGGATGTAACAGGGAACAGGTGGTCTGTTACCTACGGCCAAGAAGGGGTGCCCTGCCTCAGGGATCACAGGCAGCAGCCACTGCCCCACCTCCACCCCGTGTGTGCCCATTTCCCGTGGAAAGGCTATTCCATGGCTTTTCACAGAGCAGCTCTCCACATGCTTGTGGACATTCATTTCCACTCCCCTGCAGAGAAAGCCTGGAAGAATGAAAAAGTAGCACGTCTCTGCAGAACAATTGCATGTTATAATCAGAATTTTAACAGGCAGAGCTTTAGCCTTTAGAGCATTGAAGACGGCCCTAGCCTAGAGATGGTTCACGATAATGGGGAGCTAATGTCACGAATCTTGTATCTACAATAAAAAACAGCAGTTAATGATACTGAGCGGACAGTCATGGAGGGGGTGTGTAGAGGACACGCGAGCCTGTGACTATAGGAACAGAGGTCACAGCACTGGCTACATTTACTATGACCAGGGCAGGAAGAAAAAATGAGTCACGTGTTAGAGTTTTATTACTTCTTCTCTGGCAGATTGAATTTCATAGTTAAATTATTTTCATTGGAGCTGCCTCAGCTCTCATATTCTTTTTTTAGATGAGATTTTACTCTTTAATAGCGTTTGTATGTCAGATAATAGCATCTTTCGTGTAATAATTCATGAGATTTGAAATGTGCTTGTCAGTTAATGAGGATTGATTGAGCACTCGGAGTGCTTGAAACCTTTGGGAAAGTGTGTGAAAAATTAGATTTGGGTCCCACCTTAAAGATGCTTAAAGTGTTTGTGATGATTATGAATTTTGGGCTTTGTGGTCTGTCTCCATTTTGAAAAAAGATTATGGAAACCTCTTTTAGTCGTGACTGATTAAAAATTCTACTGGATGTGCCATCCTCTGGCTAGGAAGTCTTAGAAACATTATTTTCACGCTGCCCGTGTTATTGAGTTATTCAGATTTTTCCCTCAATGAAATAGTTATTTGGGTTACATATTGGGTTACATATTCTATTTCCTTATTAAAATGCAGAAAAGTATAAGGAAGAGTGTAAAAATCACCTGAAATATTTCACCCTGAGATAACACACCTCCAACATTTTAGTAACCATTCCTCCATGTATTTTTTATGCATACATATATTTACATGTGCATAATTTTATATGATTCTTGCTTTTGATCATGGAGCCTCTTATTTTTAATCGTTGTTTTAGCTTGTTTTCCATCACCTGCTTTCCTTGTTTCTCCTTCTGGTCCACCCCGTTAGCCAGCGTTGTTCTCACTGGTGCCCTCAGCACCTCTGTGCACTCGTAGGTATTCAAAATGGGATATTCTATGCAATTCTCTTTTCTCGTTTAACAGTACATAGTAAAAACCTCTTGAGTCAACTCTGTAGTTTTATTTTGTTCCTTTTAATGGCAGCATAATATTCTGTGACAAGGATATACCTCCAATTCTCAATCATTCTCCTATTGAGATATCCACTCTGTTTTTAATTTTATGCAACAGCTTCTAGAATTCTTGTCTGACTTAAAAAGCTCTTTCCAACCCATTTTATATTGTATATTTATATATATATATGATTTATAAATTTAAATCTGACTTTTAAATACATAAATTTATTTATATTTATTATTCATTTATATGTAATATATAAATATATATAATGTATACATAAAGTATAAATAAAATCAGTTGGTATAAAGGAGCAATGAGTACTATTGTGACCAAAAATATATCAAATCAAGAACTAGGACCTCTGATATGCCAGTGAGTACAGCGCGCTGCCTGCTATGTTCCTCTTTTCTTTCCCCTTTGCTTGAGCATCCTCAGGTGCAAACTGACTCACTAGGTCAGATGCCCTTCCTTTCCTGACATCCGTGCCTCCTTCTGGAGTGCTGTGGTGCGGGGCACTGTGTAGCTTCCTCCTCGCTGCCCACCGCTGCTCACCAGGCTCTGTCATCATCTGCAAAGCCTTCTCTCACTCTGCCTAGGCTCTGGTGTGGGTGGGGCTTACACGGCCTGAGGCTGCTCCCTGGAGCACAGGCAGCATCCCACATCCAGGGAGCCCATTATTGGCACCACCTGAGAACGTGCTCCCGCTGTGGTCCTCAAGCGCCATTGGCATCAACTATAGAATGTCACTATGTGTGTGTGTTTACAGATTTGGGGAGGAAGGAGATATTGTTTTAGGCTATTTCATTTGCAGAATTCCCTGAACTAGACATTCCCTCATATTTGATTAAAACAAAGAAAAGCTGTTTTGTATCATATGAATGATGAAATGTAAGCAACACGACTTCACTACAAGAGCTGATGAAAATCTCTACTCTTGTGAGTGTGTAGTGCTGGCTGGTTTACACTAGCCGGCTTGTGTGTAAATTCAGCCAAACAGATCTGGCCATGTGCAGAACAGTTTGTTTACACCAGCTTTCAGAACCTGGTAACTCTGGCTCATGAGGCATTTTTTCTTTTTCTTTTTTTTTTTGTTGAGGAAGATTAGCCCTGAGCTAACATCTGCTATCACGCCTCCTCTTTTTTTTTTTTTTTTTTTTGCTGAGGAAGACTGGCCTTTTGCTAACATCCAGGCCCACCTTCCTCTACTTTATATGTGGTGTGCCTACCACCACATGGCTTGACAAGCAGTGTGTAGATCTGCACCCGGGATCTAAACTGGTGAACCCCAGGCTGCCGAAGCGGAATGTGCAAACTTAACTGCTGTGCCACCGGCCTGGTCCCCAAGGCATTTTTTTTTTTAAATATATTTTATTTATTTAATTTAATTTTTTTTTTTCCTTTTTCTCCCCAAAGCCCCCCGGTACATAGTTGTGTATTCTTCGTTGTGGGTCCTTCTAGTTGTGGCATGTGGGATGCCGCCTCAGCGTGGTTTGATGAGCAGTGCCGTGTCCGCGCCCAGGATTCGAACCAACGAAACACTGGGCCGCCTGCAGCGGAGCGCGTGAACTTAACCACTCGGCCACGGGGCCAGCCCCCCCCCCGCAAGGCATTTTTTTAAAGCAACTTTGTTCAATTGAAAAAAGATTACTTATGGCTGTACTAATAAAGTAATGTCTGTAAACCAGAGAGAACACGGCAAAGCAAAAAAGATAAAGGCAGGCAACATCGGACAGCTGTGACTTCCTCTCACTTCTGCCTGTGAGATACCTAATAGCATCTTGAGACAGTTGAGGGGATGATGGTTGATGCTCAGAGGAACTGAGGGGCCACCACCTGTGTGCCAAGTGGAAGTATTAACACTCCCAGTCAGGCAAAACCTGGAGAACCTCAGTAGCTTTCGCTCACTTCGTAGGGACCTCCTATTATAAAGCTTGGTATGTTCTAGCATCGGGCACAGTGCTCGAGTCATCCTATTTCCCTAAAGCCGCCTGTTGGAGGCCATCGAATGAGTGGAAAACAGCTGCGGCTGGACCCTGACGGTTGTGTAGGATTGAGGAAACTGGCAGAAAGGGAGAAGGTGTGTTTTGGGATGCTGAAGAGGTGGGTCTGTCCAGAGTAGAGAGCTTCTCTGGGGGAGGCCTGGGAGGTGAGATCAGAGGCTACGGTCACGGGGCTCGACCTCCAGGCTGTGAGTGCGGACTTGGAGCAACAGGGAGCAGATGGAGGTCAGAGTGTGGAGAAGAGGAGATGAGCTCAGAGTGGCAGAAAGATGAATGTGTGCAAGATATTAAACTGATAAAGACCAAAAAGATGAAAAGTGATGAGAGGAGAACGTGTCAGTGGTATGGACAGATTGGAGGGTAAGATTTCACTTGCAGTAGCCCCAACTCAGAGGCGTTGCTGCAGCTCCTAGATTTTAGACTGATTATAATGGAGCCAAAGGAATGAGATCAAGGAATGGGTGTGAGAGAAAAGCTCCTCCACAGTCCGTGCGCTGAGGTTGCTTACTGGGAAAAATACTGAAGCGTAGAGATTTTGAAGGTTTTCTTTGTGTTCTTTCTTACGTATACGTACCTGCATACATATATATTTATCACTACGTGGCTGAAATCAAGAGACACTGATTTCACAAGTGTTTGTGGAGTGGCTACTCTGTGCTAGGCATGTTCTGGGTGGTGAGTAAGACAGTGGAGGACAAGATGGCTGCCAGGAGGGGCCTACGTGTTGGTGATCCCTGTGCCCAGATAAGACTATTCTGCCTTATTCTTCTACAAAAGCATGGTGCTTCCACATGTTCGATGCTGCATTCACTTCTGCCTGTGAGATACCTAATAGCATCTTGAGACTGTTGAGGGGATGATGGTTGATGCTCAGAGGAACTGAGGGGCCACCACCTGTGTGCCAAGTGGAAGTATTAACACTCCCAGTCTGGCAAAACTGGAGACGTGAGTTTGTCTGTAAAATTGGAAGAGTAAAGAAGGTTAATTGTGCATTCACTAAATTCCAGAATACTAGAATTTGGGGAAATCTCCCTAAAACTTGGAAAAAGAGAAATATAGGCCGGCTCACAGGCAAGGCCTTCTAAATACCAGAAGCAAATTGCATCGCCCAAGGGGGTGACACAGACAGAAATAGGGATTTGTCAGTGTTGATCTAGAATAGATTATCAGGAGATGTTAGGGTTCATCTCTGACTTTTAAAGGCCGACAGTCAGGAAGCCATAACAGGAGTGAGAAAAATTGCTGGAGACACCTCCATCAGAAAGTCTGTGTGGTCTCCATGATGCCCCCTTTCTGAGGAATGGAGAAGAGACTTCTGTATACATCATTATCACAAATAAGCCCAAATTTCCCTGGTGTCTCATTTGTCCTCTTGTGTCTTGAGAATATCGTGTACAAAGCTGCTTTACTGTAATTGAAGAAAAGTTCAAGGTACTCACATTTACAGTTAGATAATTTATAGGTATATAATACAACTACTAGAACCCAGATTGACTTGAGCTAACGTTCCTATGTTTTTGATTCCTTTGTATGTCCAA